AGGGAAGGGAAGGGAAGGGAAGGGAAGGGAAGGGAAGGGAAGGGAAGGGAAGGGAAGGGAAGGGAAGGGAAGGTTTCTCCTAGCATCCTCATCCTTTATCCTTAATTTTCCTGTGCTACGTAGCATCACGGTTCACACTTGGGACTCCGTGCCAGTTCCAAACTCACGCATTGTCAAGCGTAATACTTGTCCATCAAGCATGTACAGTGGTTCCAGGGATAAGTAAGCTTGAGGACTGCTTTTGAATTAAAAAACAAATGGGAGGACTAAGTAACTCACTGCCAAATTCCTGCTTGTTGGGATGACTTTTTGTAGCCAGACAAAAGGGGTCCTGGAGTCTCTGTTTTAATCTCACTGGGGATTAAGGAAATTTGTCTCTTTGTTTATGGGATTATAGGATATTGTAGCCTATTTGGAGCTTGTGAATCAGCAAGGGGGATGGTTAAATAATATTTTGCATCTCTAACAGCTTCCAACAAGCACCAACCTTGTTTACCTTTAAGAGAATTATCCATCAAGAATTTTGTAGGAAGAATCACCTTCTTTGTTTCACCAAATTATGAGTTTTGCTACTGGGTATTGCCTTTGAGGTGTTGGCCCCCACTCTGCTGTTGGCAGAGACGGTGCTATCACCAGACATCTGGGCCAACTGCCAGCCCTACCAGCAGAGAAGAGGGTCCACTGGAGGAAGACTTTGCCCTTTAGGCTTGGAATGCTTTTTATAATGATTTTTTTCCAATATATTAGTAGGTTGACTTGGATTTCTAAATAAATAAATAAACACACACACACACACACACACACACAATAATTTGATTTGTATATAACACTAGAGAGTTTCAGCTTGGAAGTTGAGAAATACATAAAATATTTATTAAAAATGCTCAATGAGTAGTAAGTTGTTGCTGCAGTAATCATTCAATATAATAATTATATAAGTGTTCTCTTTGATGCCCTGGAGCTGAATTGACATCAATATGTCCTGCATATAATCAATAATTGGGTCTGGAATAGTTTATTTTCAGCCAATCAGAGAAAATCAAGCTACAACATTTGCTAATAAACACGCGCTTCTCTCGACGAAACATACATATAAATTTAAAACAGATAAATAACACTTAAAACAAATTATGTCTACCTTTTTAAAATCAAGAATTAAGCTCCGACTGTTTATCTGATGTTTTATTATGTGCTTTTAAAACATCAGCTGATCTAAGTGTTTATTCCAGAACGCAGAGGATACTTAAGACTTTCAAAATGATTCTCCAGTGAGAATTTGATGAGACAACATTTCTGACTTCATGGTTTTCCACTGATTCTTCCCTCAGGGAATTATAATGTCAGGACTTGGGGAGATCTTCAACATTTGACGATCAGTAGACAGAAAAAAATCCACATAAACAGTGAATAAATTGATGCCACTTATTTTTCACAGCAACATGGTGGGACTTGAGAATTTGGGGTGGGGTGGGGTGGGGTGCTGGCTGCAGCAAGGGAGGAAGGGCGATACAAGCTTGTTAACTACAGTTGGCTATAATTAGAAAGTATTTAGAAGCATTCCTGGCACAGGTTCAGTTATACTGTTTTTAAAAATTCAGATTTGCAAATGTCAGGACTGGAGCAGGCCCCAGGAGGTTGAATGTGTTAAACGGCAGATTTAAGTCAGCAAAACTAATTTCTTTATTTTAATCTTATTAAAAAACCCCAACAGCTGTCAACTGTCACCGCTTTTTTCAAGGTTTCCGAGACAAGCATCAAATGGTTTATGTTTTCAAGCAGGTTTATTGTTTTTACTTGTAACATACCCACTTACAAAATTCCCTTTGCAATTTTGCTGGCTAATGGGAACTGTTATTACTTATTATTCAGAAACTTCCTCCCAACATCACCCCACCCAGATACCTAGAATAAAAAAAGGTTATGGTAGTACCTAAACCTACCATGATTGCTTGAGGATTGCTACTGAATTAAACCAAGCTTTAGCACCCCTAATCAGCTTTAGGAGCTGACGGCACAGCCTTCAACTGGACAACTTTGCACTGATCATAAATCCCAATAAAACGGCTTATTTTTTCTATAACAGGGGCTGCAACGAAATGATTGGAAGGCCAAACCACACCAGGTTTACGCGTATCACATTATTTGGCAAGAAGAAATTATCTCATGAACAGAAAAGCAGAGCTGAGTGGTGGAACATGTTTGCAAAGCAGCCCCCATCTTCGCTTTTTTGACAACGCTCTGCGGACACCCCTGATGGCAAATCTAATTTGTGCCTGAAAAGTTGCTTTGCAGAGCCTCCGCTTGGCTTTTATTCGAAGCCACTTGTTGGAGAGAGTTTATAAATCTGCCAGTTTTGTTATATTGCACAGAGATGTTCTTGCCTTCAAGTGATGTGTCTGTAAGGGTGAGAAGTTTAGCCTTTGCCTATATCTTTTGAAAACCATTTTTCAAAAGTGTCTGTTGATTTTTTTTTTTAAATAAAGATATCTAAGGAAAGAAATAATCCATCTACAGAACAGCAGCACGGAAGGGAGATGCTTTGATCCATCAGAGTTACAAAGGACCGCATGGCACAGAATTTAGAGTACGGGGTTGCAGCTAGAGGAACCTACGTTTGAATATTTGCTCTGCAATAAAACTCAATGTTTTCAGTGTAACCTACCATACAGGGGTGTTCTGGGGATCACAATCAGCTCCTGAAGGAAACATGGGATATGAATTACAAAGAAACACATTTGTTTGATTGCTATACCGAACCACTTCTGTTTTTTCCTAAACTAACAGATTGCTAAACATTTCTTTATCGGAAGGCACAAAACTAATGTAGGGAAACAACTGGAGAAAAAAGAGTTTGTGATTGCTAGCAGCACACAGCGTTTTCACTTCTCCGTGCTTCCCCAACCTGTTTCTCATAGTTATTGAGGTCTACAGAGGACCAGATTCTACACTGTGAACTAGTCGTGGTTAACCTGAAAATCGATCACACTGTGCGGTTGCAATAACTTGGGTGATATAAAATTTGGTGTGCTGGCCAGGAGAACCATGCAGGTTTTTCCTGGAAGGATTCAGGATCCTGCCTTTTAGGGTTAAGTTCTGATTAGCTTTTTAGAAGTCACAAAACTGGTCTCTGCCAACGTTCAGCTATGATTAATTGTATGCTTGTCCTAAACCTGCAGCCAGGATTGCCGCCAAAAGGCTGTGCAGAGATTCTGCGCTCACACAAAGGGCTCTCTATTTGGACAATCTGAAAGGGGTGTTAGCAGCTTCCTTTTTTCAGTTCCTTGTTTTTGTCTTTCAGGGCTCGCTCCTGACCTATTCAAAACGCTCCAACTGATATCCCAGGATCCCTGCATTTCTTCTGGTTGAGTAAAAAAGAGCGACAGGTGTTGGGAATGCGTTTGCAGATTCTATGGCGGGAAGGAAAAAGACTTTAACTTGTTTCCCATTTGGGCTGCAGCAACAGAAAAGGCAGAGGGAGGTCTCATGAAGACTTCCCAGAGACGTCTTGCAGCCGGTTCAGGAGGATCAGAAAGCGAGGACAAGGGGCCATGTGTTAGTTCAGCAGCGTTCAGCTTTATAGTCATGCTGGACAAACCGGGCTTGGAGCAAATCCCCCACTTTTCCAATCTCTGGCCTTTGAAAAGGAGGAACAGCGCTCACCTCTCAAACTATCTAAGGAGATTGAGCAGATGAACCATGATTATACCTCCATTATCCCCAGGCAGGCCAGCTGATGGCCATTATAGTCCAACACAGCTGGAGAGGAAGGAGATCTGCCCTAATAGATGTAACCTGCCCCTCTTCTGGTACTCCTGGGGCTTCTGGTGATGGCCAACAGGCTCACATCCTCCCTTCCAAGCGTATAGAAACCTACTTGCCATCCAAAGAATGACAGCTGAAAACTGAACGACGTGGCCTGGGAATCCATCCAATTATTAACTAAGGAAACGGTCATTACCTAAGCTATTCAAAAGAGAAGCAGCTGTTAATCCCTGGGGTCTGTGGTGTGGTGGCACTCAGATTAGATGAACTGCCTTTCTATCTGAATCGTCCAGGTGATTATATTTTTACTGATCAAGGAGATTAGGGTAGGGAAGGGAAGGGAAGGGAAGGGAAGG